GCCAAATGAAGATCCGGAAAAGAACAATACTATCACTTTTGCCCCATGAAGGTGACTGCATATATATAAAACCACATTGAATTAGTTCAATAAATCACGCATAATGTTTTTCTATGACAAGAACCGCAAACTCACATACGCTGCAGATTTCTGCATCCACTAAAATCAGGGATTCCACGAGAAAAAGAGTTACCATCGAGTCTTCTGCATTTACAGAAATAAGTAGATGAGGCAGGAGATAGAAAAAAATGGATGGAAAGAATGAACCATCTGAGCTTACAACTCGACCAATGCCGATAACTTTGTCAACTCCTCAGGGACACTTCCTGTGATGTTCTTTTCTGACAATGTGCCGCGAGGGATAATTCTTAGGTTTTAAAGCAAGGAATTAATCAATAAATCCAAAGTGAAGGCAGAATTCTTTCTCATGTAATGTCATCTATACTCCATATTAACAAAACAAATGCAAAAAAAATGTGCACATAAGAAATAGCATATAACTATAGAGTCAGTTAGAACCCATCTCTCTGATTTTCTTAACACGCTGCAGCAAACCATAGCATAAGTGGAAACTCAACCTATGATTCTTTCTTATCCGATTTCAGTTAACTATAAACTATGTATCTAGCAGTGAAGAGCTTATCAGTCAAACGACATTAGCCTGCCGGCCATAAAGGCACAGGCATAGACCGGAAAAATCAACTGAAACTATTTCTTGCAGGCATGGCACAACACACATTTGTTCGTTAGTTCATAACTAAACCTGAAGAGAAAATTTGCACAACCTTGTGAACATGCTTAAAAGATCGGGAACCTTATGCGAGATCTCACCTTATGCAGTCATAGCCTAGCAAGCTCAACTCCATGAAATAACTACACATAATCTCTAATCCTTTTGCACTTGCAGACTGATATTTGAAGGTCAAACCATATTATAAAAAAAACATTAAGAGAAGCAAATGCAGAGGCTGGAGGTGAGCCTAGCCCTGTCGATCCATGGAGCACGAGCATACTTCGAGGTACGCATTGCTGGCAAGGGAGCGTCGAAGGCCACCCACCACATGTCCGGGTCTCCTCTCATATCGCACGACTATGGAGATGTACGCGACCTCGAGCACCTCTGTCGCGGCCTAGATTGAATCCCTTGATGGCGGCGTAGATCGGGAAGCACCGCGGTGGATCAGGGAGCACAGACAAAGTGCACAAAATTATGAAGAACTTCAACTCTTTGAGGTTAGGTAGATCTTCCAAAGAGGATGGCAATGCACCGTTTAACTGATTGTTTTCAAGATGACTGCATATTATGTATATATATAACCACATTGAATCTTACATTCTTAAGAAGTTGGTCCCAATTCTTTCAACATGCAAAGTGTCCATCTTAACATCCCACTAAGTAATGTCCACATCAGCGGCCCAGCCACATCATCGTTCGGTTACCGACTTACAGGTGGGATCCATCACAGGTTGACCAGGTACAAAATGGCCACGTCACTGTTCAGTTACCATCTTACAGGATCACCAAAGGCTCTCAGCATAAAGTGAATGTGGCTCTCTTTCCCTCAATACAGCTGAACGCATCGACTCCCTCTTCCCCTATCAATAGTCCGATTCCGTGGAGCCGTGGTCCGAAGCTTGTGGTGACGCCGGCCTCAACCATGGGTTGGACGCGAGTGGTGGATTCATCTATCCGGTGGGTTGACCGGAATCCTCAGCCATGGAGTGGACAAGACGCCGGGCAGGGCCTCTGTTGACAGCGACAACTTCGACTTAGAGGGGCCTCCTCGTGTTCTTCGGGCCGGGCGGCCACGAGGAGACGGGGTAGGAGTCGCGGCCGAAGCCGGGGACGGGCCGATGGTGGCGCGCTGTGAGTAACCAGTGGTGTCTCTTACTGGAGGGCCTGTTGCAGACGCCAGTGAAGGCGAGCCCAGACTTGCTCCACAGCAGGTCGCCGTCAAGTACCTCGACCTCGATAGTGACAGCGTCCATGGGCATGCACCGTGAGTGTGTGATACATTGTCGTTCTTCAGTGCACACAAAGTTCAGTCACCAACCACATATCGTTGGTTGGTTCATTGCTTCCGTGTTGACTGATTGATTTTTTGTATGGTCAAATAAAATACGGAAAGTAGTGGCTGCTCTCGGGTGTAGTACACCCGAGTTAGCAAAAGATTGAAACAATGCAATCAAACATTATCAGACGTGTGAGGTTCGTGCAATATTTCATTTAAAAAATACATCTGAGGAGCTCTTACCAAAAATAACAAAATCACTGCTAAAACAATGCATAAAACTTTCAACAATGATTTTTTTGTGAGAGCTCCTCGGATGTTATTTTTCGACAAAACTTGGCAAGAACCTCAAACATATGATAAAGTTTGATGGAGCAAAATTTCAGATTTTTTGGATTTCGATAAACTTTTTTCAACTTTTTTGCTAACTCAAATGTAGTACACCCGAGAGTAGAAAATCCAATCTCAATAAAATAGGCAGATGTGGTGTATTGGAGGGTGCTGAGCCACCCGTAGCTGCCACCACGTACGGTGGCCATTCTCTAGCCAAACTGAGCTCCTGCATGTGAGTAGTGTATCCATGATGGGTTTGCATGCGCATGAGCGACCAACTTCCGATTACGCCGACAGGTTCATTATTTCCTTCTTGTAGGAAAAAGGTCACACATTAATCAAAATCATCCCTTTGGTGCCTTCCGTTCCAGCGATCGATCGAGCCAAAACACAAGGATCCTACAGTAGCGCTTCCTCCTATCTCCATCGCTCCCTCGGTGTACAGAAAGCCAGTAGGGTTGATTGTGGGGCCAGAAATATACACCCATGCCTTCATCGGCCCGTTCCGGTTGCTTTCTTTTCGCATGTCATACCAGGGCAAAGGTCCTTTCTTTCTTCTTTAAGAAGCATCCACGGGTCATGCATCCTTCCATTTTCTTATGTCCGTGCAAGCCGCCGCCATGTTGGACGCGGGGCTGACACCCTCGCTAGGTGTGCCACAAGAGATGCATGCCTCCCAAGGCCTTGCAGTCCCCTCCTCCTCCCTCCGAAGGGGATCCGGCTTGCCCGCTTCCTCCCCATACTCCCATCCGTGCTTCTACTTCATCTTATGGTTGTTTTTTTTTCTTTTCTTTCTAATCTAATCATCTCTCCCCTCTTCCTCTCTTGATTTTAAGGGATGGGGTCGGACTTTATTTTGTTCCAATCAAATTAAGCCACGTACGTACGCGGGAGCATGAATGGGCACACGCCGGAAAAGCAGGCAAGTCTCGTCCCTCCGAAGGGGGCATCCGAGGGTTCACCAAAGCAGAGGTAGAAGCGCAGCAAAGGGATAACAAGCAGGGCTTTGTCACATGGTAGGAGGAATCCCCTTCAACTAGCGAGTTTCTATTGGTCTAGTTCCTTGGTCGTCATCTGTCTCTCTCTTTGGTGGTCATCGCCTCTCCACCACCGGTCGGCAACCACAGGACACGTCTCAACTCACGGCGACGATACGCGCACCCCCATGTCATCGTCGACCAGGGTCAGTGAGGAAACCCGACCCGTTGCTTCTAAAAACCTGGGCCCGCCGAGTTGGAAATTAAACATGCGCGGTCTAGTCAATGGATTGAGTAAAGTTGATGCATGCATGTATCATGGCAGCTAGTGCGATCGCTAATTAACCAATGAGAAATGAGCCGATGAAGAAGTACATCAGTAACTAGTGCATGCATGTATTTCTTTGGTGACCCCCTATTACTAAGGCCTTGTACAATGAAAACTGCTTAGAGAGATACTTAGTAAAATAAACCAAGTCCTTCTTAAGCATCGGTGCTTATTTCTACATGACCGATACTTAATTAGGCGTTTACCCTCTACAAATAAGCACCGGTGCTTAGAGAAAAAATGGTTTATTTTCCTAAGCACATACCCCAAGCACCTTGCATTGTACAGGGCATAAGGGCCCTCTTGTATTGTCGGTTGGGTCCTAAATACCTGTGTAATTGATAGGACAACTTTTGGAGATGAACAGGCTAAAGAATATATTCAACGTCCACACATGGCCCTTGTAAATACAACTAGCAGGCGGAGGCGCCGCGCCCGTGGTGAACCTAGTGCGTGCATGTACGATGTTTTTAATAATTTTAAAAAGAGAGAAGGGATAGCAATAGTATTTTGGTCGAGCTCTGATCATGTGTTTACAAACTAAAGCAATGCACAATTTGCAAGGTTTTCTTTCACTTCTTTTACAATGTATATACATATTCGTCCATTGGAAAGGGAAAAATATCGCTCATTTTCCTCTAAAATTGACAGGTTGTAAATGACAAATACATTGTGAAGAGTATCTTCGAAAATACTACAAGATATTTAAAGACACGTCATCAATTTGATGGTACTCCTCATGGGAAAAAGTATCCTACACTTTTTTTTAGAAATGGTGAAGTATCATATACAAAGAGACAAGGGTTGTACAATTCAGTACATCTCGTGGTAATGTTACTTTTTTTAATATTAATCGGCCTGCCTCTACTGTTGAACAGACAATACATGTGGTAATCACCCGTGCTACAAATCGTCACCCGTGCTACAACATTAATGAATATTGCTTTAGACAGGGCATTATTAATCACTTCTGAACATAAATAAACTTCATTATCTCTCGAATGAAAGTTCAACTTGATACCTTTCTGGGCAATGAACTTCATTATCTACTACAGTTTACACTGGAAAGGAAAATTACAGTTAGGAAAAAAATTAACAAGAGGAAATTGTTACGTAAGCTAAGGTGATTATTTGTGTTTGCTTCCTTGCTTAACCGTTGTGCTAATAATTTATTAAAAACTTAGCTTCTTTTAAGTACTACCTATACTTACTGGAACATGTTAGTCGTGGCCCGCAAAGAGAAGGAAGCATTCCTTGAATAAGTAAGGATAAGGGTTCTTTGAGTACCTGATGACCTCATCGTAGAGGATGTTGCCCATGGAAATCTCGGGGAGGCCAGAGTTGGCCTTCTTGACGATAGCATCCATGGAGAAGAACTGAATCGTGCTGACCAACTTGTCGAGCATCTTGCCCATGGCGGCCAGGATGTCGAACAACATGAACAGTTCATTTATGAATTGATTCTTCTTTGACAACCAACTAAACTTCGGATAACCTTCTAGCATGATCTGTTCATTGTCTGATTAATCCAACAGCCACAACACATATACCTACTATTTCCATTCAGCTACATTCACTTGCTTATTATCTACAAACAATTGCCAACTATTTCCTAACTGAAGCAAACTATCAGTAGTTTCAGTAAACAACCACACAGGCTAGTCTCATAGTTCTCCCCCTCTCTCACGTATACCTAAAGGGAATTGTTTTCTAAACTAATTGCAGAAAGGTGAAACAGTGATGATGGACCATTGGAGCCTTGCCAGAGCACTAACCTCTCCTTGTGAAAAAGAGTTGCATTTGTGGATCCTATGGAAATGCCACAGTGACTATGCTCATTAATGTCAACAGGGATTCTAATACCAGAATGGCCAGTCTAACAACCAAGCAACAATGGAGTTGCAACATCGGAAGCAGCAACCTAAGGGTAATAACAATAGTATTCCTACAAATGTTTTACCGATGCCCCCTTGCCATTAGAAAAAAGATACCCCTCTAGTGTTACTACTAATCACTTGCATTTCATTGTAAATAGCTATTTGATCGTTATTTAAACTACTGTGTAATGACTCTAATTAGGAAGCTAGTACATATTTATCATAGTGCTGCTCTACAACAATCAATTTCTTAGTACACTCCGTGTTCATTGATACATACCTTGCAGTGTGTAATGTGTACTGTTTCCTCTTTGTTGCCTAATGGTGGCCACGCCAGACGGCTCTGTTTTCTACTCTGCTCATCAACACATGATATCAATCTACCACTTCAAGGGCAAGGAGGAGCAGTGAATAAAACTATCATGAAGATAAGCCTACATAACCGAAGAAATAAAATTAGTTTGGATAAAACAATCTAAATTCTTGAACATGAAACAAATACAACCTTTCGTTGAATATTGTACAGTATGCTACAATGATGATATATTTCAACCATCATAAGGAATCAGTATTCCCAACTCAAACTAAATTTTGCACATCATAATCAGAAAACTATATTTCAAACATCACAATTACTTGGAATTCCAATGCTGAATCACTTTAATGGAGGTAGAAGTGGAATCTTTAGCAGAACATATAAAGTTTCAAACATCAGAGATTTTTATCGTTGAAAAATGAGAAAATTAAGTTACATACCTAAGGTCAAGAGGCACACCCAAAATTGAACCTCAACCTAAAAGGCTCTAGAAATGTTGTCATTTAATCAAGTCTGTGGACACCACCTCCAAATTAATGTGGTAGAATCATAACTTTGCATATTTGGTTAGAAGAAGGGTAGCGATCTGCGCCGGCGCACCGGCCCAATCGTTGGGCCGGTCAAGCCCCAGCCGTCAGATCTGGGCCCCCCGAGCCGTGAGATCCCTTTGTCCCCAACTTCTCTCATCTTCAACCTCCCACACGGAAAAGGGAGAGGCTCGCCTTCGCACGCGCCGACGCCTCCGCACGCGCCAACCGCCTCGCCTCGCCTCCTCACCGCCGGTCGCCGCCCTCACCTATGCCGCCTTCATGCGTTTCTTACCTCAGTGGATGCAGCAGCGTGCGCCCATGGTTGCATTCGTGGTTGCAGGCTTGCAGCTCCGGGGGAGATGGCCGCATCTTCGGTGGCGCCAGCCGCCGGCCGCAGCACCCGTCGTTGTGCTCGTGCTGTACCTCGCCGTGTGCCCACCCGAGGCTCTTGCTGATTCCAACAAAAGACTACACCGGTTGTAGCAAAAATGTTTATCGCTTCCAGCAAAAACACTTACCACTGCAGCCCGCCGTCGTCATTGTACCAAAAATGTTAATCGGATGTAGCTTATGTGGTTGCCCGTTGCAGCAAAAAAATGACGTGGTTGTAGCAAACACAAAAAAAAACAAAAAAAGTTTCCATTGTTTTCAGAAAAGCTTCGACCGTGGTTTGCTGGTGGCAACAAAAATGTCAGCTGTTAGTAGCAAAAGTATTGTGCTGGTTGCAGCAAAAAATGCTCGCCTGTGCCGCCACCATGTCGTCCATGAAGCAAAATTGATCACCGGTTGTAGCTTTTGTGATTGCCGGTAGTAACTTTTGTGATTGCCGGTTGCAGCAAAAACAGCTTCTGGTTGCAGCTCACATCGGTACTTCCAGCAAAACTCTTGTTAGCCGCCCTCCGCGGTTGCATCATCTTTTCTACATGGTTGTAGCACCGACTCTATTGGTTTCAGCAAAAATCACTTTGCAAAAATCCGCCGTCTTTTATTTCCAGCTTTTTTATTCATCGGTTCCAGCTTTTTATTTTGTCGGTTGCAGCGTTTTTCTCAACTGGATGCAACACTTTGTAGCAGAAAAAAAAACTTAATGTGGCTGGAGGTAGAAGAAAGGTAACAGATAAGGCAAGAGATAACTAGGGAGAAAAAAAGGGCAGTCATGTGGGCCCCATATCGTGCACGTGAGACGTGCGGGAGCAGTTTGCCTCGGACCGCGCCAGCGTGGCAAGAAAATTCAGCGTGATACGTGTGTTGTGCGCGTGAGTGAGCGTGACCGGCCGAAAGTTGCGCCGGCGCGCCGTATATAAACGTTTCCCTTAGAAAAATGATCAATAGAAACTAAGCAAAAACCAATCATTCTTTTGCATGCTAGAAATAGCTATTGGGAGGCAATTATGTACACAATTAAATGAACCATAGTTTCAGACATCTTCTCATATATGTATGAAAAGAACATGTATACTAATCATAAAAATGAATCAAGTCCAGCTCAAAGCTTCGCTTTCAACTGACGATCTGGTCTAAAGGAAAGACCTAAACTTTATGGAGAAATGAATAACATTTATAGTCTTGACTCATCTATTTGGGATCTGTACAACTAAGCTCAGGTTTATGGGGCCAAGATGACCCAGATTCTCGATTGGACGGCCAAAATCTTCAAATGGGTGAGAGGGCAATAATGGCTAGCATGGAGACTCTAGATCGGTCGGGTGCACGAACCGGTGCCAGAAGGGACGATGGTGAGAGGGTAGGAGAGGGTGTGACGAGGATGAGAGCATACGTATCGGGGAAGACGGGAGACCTGCGGTGCTTAGGGGAGAGAGAGACATGTACAAGTACATTGCGACAGCACGAATCTCAAACTCAGAGTAATGATTTACTCTTTGTGTTTTCTAGTTTTTTTCTACATCACTTTGTGTTTTTTGTTATTCGACATGCAATTGCTGACATGCATGCATATGTATATCCTGGTCACCTCGACAATGGTTGTCCAATAATGAATCAAGGTTATGTTATCAAGCTTGACGGATGGCGTGGTCGACCTCGGGCCTTGCGGAAGTGTCACAACAGCATTCATCGGTCACGGGCTGGCAGTGGGGTCTATTGGGGTAATTTTGTCTAGCACATTCATCCTTGCATAACGACTGCACGCATGGCCCGGGAATAAAAGCAGAAATCTACACGAGAGAGAAAAATAGTTAGCACAAGGTATGGATAGATACAACGGATCAGTTGGTTGATTGGTACAACCAATATCTTGCTGGTACATGCATACAATGGATTAATTGGTAGGAGTAGATTGGTACAAACAATATTTTGTTCGATTCATAGATCACATATAATCCCCCACAAAAGAAATAGATCACATATAAAATACTACTCCCTTCATCCCATAATATAAAAGCACTTTTGACACTACACTATAAATATAAGACGTTATAAAGAGTTTTATCAAGTGTTTTACAGAGGTAGTAGATGAGAAGGAAAACATGTGGGTAACATATATATGTATGTAATTATAACCTGCATCACAGGACAGCATCATGGTGGCCATCACCACCATGAGGGCGGCCAAGCATACGGCGCCTGTGTTCCTCCTGGTAAACGCCATGCCAAAATGCAAAGCTAGCTAGCTACTTATCTCTTTTCTACACTGTATGTTTGATCTCTTTCTTGGCGATGCGCTGATGCACAGCTCCTTTCGCTAGTGTTTAAATAGAGGGTGGAGGCGCACACGCGTCCTAATTTTAGGCTGGGATTAATGTATTGATAATTGATCGATCAATGCATATCTAAAATTAGACGTATACGTACCAATTCCCTCGCTAATCTTTTTTAGCTGGAATTGATTTGCTTTATTTAAATGCTAGCAAGAGGATTTTGGACCTCCCGCGTGCGTGAATTAAATA